TCCCTCTGATTCTTTTTTCTCTCTCTCATTCTCTCTCTTCTTTCTTTGTCTCTGGTTCTTTCTCTTTTGTTCTCTCTCTCCTCCTCTTTGTCTCTCTCTCTCTCTCCCTTTCTTATTCTCTCCTCTCTCTTCTCTCTCTCATTCTCTCTCTCCCCTCTCTCTTTGTCTCTTGTTCTCTCTCTCCCCCCTTTCTCTCTCTCTCTCTCTCTCACACACACACACACACACACAAAACCATTGTTAGTGGAACTTTATGGGTATATTCAAATTCTTTTCTTAAGCAGAGTTGGAGTCATTGTAAGAATAGTAGAAGATCACAGGATTTTATATAAAGTAATTCCCTATTCTTTCCTTTTCTTTTCATTAATTTTTAATCCCCAGCTAGACACCTGCTCCCTATGCAAAGGCACAGTTCTACCCCTGAGAATTTTTTCACAAATTATTTTCTCTTTTGAAAGAAAATACTTTTATATTAAATCGAACAACAGCAGATAGGAAATTCTGGGGGGGGAGGGCATTGTGTGTGTATGTGTGTGTGTGTGTGTGTATTTTTCATTTCCCTTGCTAATTTCAGAGCACTGCAGCTTGTTTTGGATTAAGTCAATTAGAACCGGCACCATATTTGCTTTTTGGAAATGGGATTTTCATTAGGCAGCACAATTCTCTTTGGAGCAAAATTATTTAGAAGGCTTAAATTACCTCTGGTAAGACATGAGAAGAAAACAATTACACATTCATTCCAAAACAATTCTCCCCTCCAAATGGTGGCTGGTCAGCAACATCACTGTGAGGTTTGACAGTGGTTCGTATCCCCCATCCTTTTATTAAAAAAAATAGTTAGAAAGAAAGAGAAAGAGAGAGTGAAAGAGAGAGAGAGAAAGAAAAAGAAAAATAGAGAGGAAGAGGAAGAGAGAGAGAGAAAAGAAAGAGAGAAAGAAAAAGAAAAAGAGAGAGGAAGAGGAAGAAAGAGAAAGAAAGAAAGAAAGAGAGAGAGAGAGAAAGAGAGAGAAAAAGAAGAGAGAAAAAAAGAGAAAGAGAGAAAAAGAGAGAGAGAGAGAGAGAGAAGGAAAAAATCAAGATGAGTACATGGAAGGGAAGGCACTGGGCAGACTGGAGAAGTGTCCCAGTAGGGTAAGCCATGTTGATATATGGGGGCAGCTTAGAACAGTACGGAAGAAAAAGTGCAAGGAACAACTGGGGAAGACAGGTCGATGGACAATGCTACATTGAAGGATCAACTAAGAGTAACAAGGGTACTAAGACATGGACAACGTACAAGCAGGCCGGCCAGTACAGATGTCAAGCTGGAAGCTACTAAGGGGAAGGAGAGCCTTGCCCTACTCAAACTCCTGCCTGGATTTTGCTTCATCTAAAACCTGGAAGACTCAAGGCTTTCCAATGTTCAGTTCTCCCAAGTCCTAACCCAAAGGTGCCTTTTCAAAACCCAACTGGACTTTGTTTTTCCTGGGAGATGTTTCGCTTCTCATCCAAGAAGCTTCCTCAGTTCTGAAGAAGTTTCTCAGATGAGAAGCAAAATGTCTTCCAGGAAAAACAAAGAAAGTCCAGTTGCCTCTTGAAAAAGCATCGTTGGGAAAGCCATGACCTAGAGGGGTGAGAATCTCCATAGACACCTCCAAGCCCTTAATACAGTTTTAGCAGCATCTCTGAAGCATCTCTTTCCTTCCAGCTTTGGGAGACAAAAACCAAAAAAACAACATGCCACGCACACTCGCTCATTATTTCTGCAATGTAAAACGCAAAGGAATCAATATATATATATATTTTTTGTCATTGTGCCTGCTCACCCCCTACCCTGTGCTCCCCCGCCCCTCGGGTGCCATAATCTTGGCTGTCATTTGAGTTTTTAATTGTGTTGTTTTCTCTGTTGTGCAGAAGTAAATCTTATCTGTTTGGGATTAAAATTCAATGAAGGTCAAGGCGGTTGCAAAATTTACCAGCCAGCTGCAATTAATGTTTGTTTTGCCTTTGATAAATTGGAACAGCTTCCCTTCTCTAGAAGTGGAGTGGGTTTCAGAAGCTGTAATTCTTCCATTAACTCAATGATTTCCCTAGCATGATAAAGCCACCTGTCAACTTCTCCAGTTTGTCATCTGTCATTTCAAGGTCCTGGACATATGTCTGATATGTTTTATGATGATTATTTGGGCTTCTTGTGTCAAAACATTGAAAGCCACCAATTAGTCTTTCCATACAAAGTACTGGATTAAACAAAAATGTGTCATTCAATTGCCTTGCTGCTTCCTATCCCCCCCCCCCACCTGCTTAATTACACTTTCCTTCATTATAAATACCCATGAAGGGTTTGGTGTGTTTGTTTATGATATTTCTTCCATCACTTCTGAGACAAAAGTAGCATCCCTTAAGAATTTTTTGCTGATGTTGCCAATCAGACAGGTGAGTTAGTACCAGAACTGTTATTTGAACTCTATTGCATTTCTCTTCATACATGCACACACACACACACACACACAGAGAGAGAGAGAGAGAGAGGGAGGGAGAGACATATGAACTCTTCTCCGATTAATTTAGCACCAAGGACAGCTCCCATAATTATCTACGACTTCCAAAAAGCTGGAATTCATATCTTTGTTTGCAGGTTAGTTTATGTTTTAGCAAGGTTTCCTTCCATTCCAACGCTTAACTAGCTAGCCATGTTTTCCTTCCCAGTGGAAAAGTTTGTTAAGTCTCCCCAAAAGGAGGAGAAATATAATATGAAAAGTGGAGGAAGATGATCAGAAGGAGATGGTGGGAGGTTTGTCATTTCAGACTTGCAAAATTCTGTTAATGTTGCCTCGCAATGAAGTAGAATTAGTTCTTCTGTCCTGTTTCCTGTCTGGTCTACCTGAGAAGGGTGACACTTTCAGAGCAAACAGCGAAAATGGCTAAGAAGCCGACACTTGTGTTACTGGAGCAATCAGTCGTTGGATAGTATCAATAATTTGGTAAGTATGTCTATCACTGACTCTACTGAATGCAGGGTGGCAGCCATAAACTCTTCAGTTCACATCCTATGGTGTCTACAAGACATTGAACCATAACGCTCACCCCATTTTTCATCCACCACTTCTCGCTGTCTCCTTAGGCCACCCTGAGCTGCTTTTGACCTGAGGAATTTGATCACGCATTATGTAAAGCTTAAAATTAATCTGAAGTCGAGTTCTTTGGCAGATAAACTCAATACCAATCAAAAGGAACATCTTCAAATCCCTATGGTGCAGCACTTCAGAAAGAGCTTAAGCAACACCTTCAAAGGGAAGCAAATTGATGCTCTTGTTGAAACAAGTTCTTCTTTTAATCGTGCCAAATTAAGTCTTCGTTTTTCTATAGCTTTGTGCTGCCCCGCAAAACAGGCTTTTGTATCACAAAAACAGATCTTGAGAGTTTGGGGGGGGGAAAAATCAGAGAAGAGCAACTATTAAGATGATCCAAGGCCTGGAGACTAAAACATATGAAGAACGGCTGCAGGACTTGGGTTTGGCTAGTCTGAAGAAAAGAAGAAATAGGGGCGACATGATAGCAGTGTTCCAGTATTTGAGGGGCTGCCACAAAGAAGAGGGAGCCACTTTATTCACCAAAGCACCAGAGCGAAGGACGAGAAACAATGGTTGGAAACAGATCAAAGAGAGAAGCAACCTGGAAATAAGGAGAAATGTTCTGACAGAGAGAACAATCAACCAATGGAACAGGAGTTCCTGACAGTGAGGATAATTAACCAGTGGAATAGCTTGCCTCCAGAAATCGTGGGCACTTCATCACTGGAGATTTTTAAGAAGAGGCTAGATAGTCACTTGTTTGAGATGGTATAGTTTCTCCTGCTTAAGTGGGGGGCTGGACTAGAAGACCTCCAAGGTCTACTTCTATTCTATTTATTCCATATTCTATTCTATTCTATTCTATTCTATTCTATTCTATTCTATTCTATTCTATTCTATTCTACTCTACTCTACTCTACTCTACTCTACATTCTATTCTATTCTATTCTATTCTATTCATTATGCTATTCTATTCTATTCTATTCTATTCTAGTCTAGTCTAGTCTAGTCTAGTCTAGTCTAGTCTATTCTATTCTCCATCTTCCCTACCTTAAGAGGTCCTTCCTGAGGTCTCTTATTGGGATCAAATGGAAATTAAGAAAGGTATAAATAACTAGAGAGACAGTTCTACAATGTAAAACAGCTCACTTACAAATTCCAGCCTTTCAAAACTTATCGAAGTAAAGGAACCCCTTAGCCCAGACATCAAAATTCTCCCAATGTGTTCTTTGGCTTTTAAAATCAAAACTTTAAAAAATGTTCAGCACATCACAAATGTAATCCATCTGGGCCACCGCCTGTACCGAAGAACAGATCACCGCAATGTACAATTGTGAATTCTAGAATTAAAGCAGGCCATACACGACAAAAACTCACAGAAAAACTTTCATCAATCACAACCCCTTCTTAATCAACAAGACCTCCAATCCTAGTTTTAATCCAGACAACTAACCAGGAAAGTCCATAGAGTTTGCAAATACAAACTGTTCTTTGTTACCCATTTACCATCCTGGGTGGGATGGTAGTGTAGAAAAATTATCCAAAGGTTCTTTCCAAAAGCCAACGGGATATGCTTGGGTTTTTCTTGAAAACATTTCCTTGAAAATGTTTTGCTTCTCATCCAAGAAGTTCTTCAGAACTGGAGGAAAAGCAATAGGTCTTCAAGGAAAAACAAAGGAAGTCCAGTTGTCTTTTGAAAAGCACTTTTGGGACTTGGATGAGTGACAATCTCACGAATGAGGAAGGCGAATATACATGTCCCAGGATAATGTCGCAGGATCCAATCTGGATTGGTCACTGTGACCAGCTTTTGGACTTCTCCTGGAGCCCATCTTCAGGGAACTTCTCTCTGACAGAGTGTGTGTTGTGCTACGTGTGGTATTTTTTGTAGTGCCCGTTGTAAACGATCGAGAATCTCCATAGATGAATGTAGAAGAAGCCACTCACCATGACAGACACGTGTAGAATGTGCATCTGCTCATCCACAATCTCCGAAGGTTCTTGCAGGCTCGGTGGTGTGGCCCGGGAAAGTTGTTCAGCGCTGCTCATGGACACATGGAAGTAGAGGGTGCCGTTTTCCAACCACTGCTGTTTCCAATGCACCAGAGAAAGATCCGACACCGTTCCGGACATCTCTGCCAGAAGGAGAAATAGAACTTAGTATTTATATAGTACTAAAAGTGTTCATCTTACTGCCAATCTTCACCATTCTGATCTGTAATTGTATTTTAAGCTGGCATGGCTGAGTTTGCCATTCCTTGCTTATCTCTTCCATATTTTTCCTCTACATCAGGGGTCTTCAAACTTGGCCCTTTTATGACTTGTGGATTCCAACTCCCAGAATTCCTCAGCCAGGCACGCTGGCTGAGGAATTCTGGGAGTTGAAGTCCACTCCTCTTAAAGTCTAACCAATTCAATAACTGGCCTTATTAACATTGTCCCATCTCCAATACAGCAGCAAAGACTTAGATAGGCAGAAGACAAAAAAACGTGAAAGAGAAATGGGAAGTTCTCTTCTTGGCTAATTGTGACTCTCATTGGCCAGTTTGGAGAATAATGAAAAATCGTTCCCAGTTCAATGACCAAAGCTTAACGCCCACCCTTCTTTGCTTCTACAAGAACAGAGATCTGTTTTGCTTCTCATTAGCCAGAGGATCCTTTGATACCTAAACAAAAGGGACAATTACTTCTTTAAACCCTACTGAATGAAAATCCATCACATCCCTTTTACGACTCAATCGAGCCAAAGGAAGGAACACAATTTTAAAACAAAGCAAATCTTTCTGCCTTGGATGTTTCTCTATCACCATTGATTTCTGATAAGTTGGCGAATCTTAATGAGTTGTTCCAATTCTACATTAATTATATTAACGACATAATCCTGCCTGACTTATCGACAACTGGAGATTAAGCAGACCGAAGAAGGAGGGATACCCAGGGGATACGGGCAAAACACAGTTTCTCCTTCCAGAGGGAGCATCTACCTATTTTAAAAACAGTCACTCAGACCATCCCAAAACTGTTTTTCCGAAAGGCAACTGGACTTTCTTGTGCTTTTTTTTTTTCCTTTTTCCTTTCTTGCTTTTTTTCCCCTTTCTTTTCTTTCTCATCCAAGAAGCTTTTTCAGTTCTGACGGAATATAAATCCTTATATTTCCCCACCGTTCAGCGAGAAATGAAGAAGCCTCTTGGACGAGAAGTGAAATATCTTCAAGGAAAGGAAAACCAAAAAAATCAAATTGCCTTTTATAATAATAATAATAATAATAATAATAATAATAATAGAAAAGCATCTTTGGGACAACCATGATTGGAATGACTGAGCATCTCCATAGACATCAAATCAAATGTTTGGAGAAAAAAAATAGAGCTACATTCCATCTCCTCTATACCTCCTTGTGGCTAGACAATTGTGGTTTACAACAAAAGCTGTTGGGAAAACCACAGAAAGAAGAAGGCAATTTTAAGTGGTCCCACACTGAAAAAATTCTGCTTTGGTCTGGATCCCACATGTCCCTTTGCCCCCAAAGCAGGTTCCCAACCCTCTTTTTACATACAGAAATATTCCTACCCATGCTACATTAGCTCCAATCCTCTCTTTTGCACATTTTTTGTTTAAAAAAATTACTTTTCTTAAGCTGTTGGAACAGAAACCAACCTAGAAAATTCTTGCCCAAGGTTTTAACGTCTTTCTCCCCTTTCCAATCAGGATTCAGAACTGTCTCCCTCACACTCTACTTTGGATTAAAAAGCAAGACCTTGTTTTTGTTCTTGAGGGGAAAAAATAATAACACGATTAAAACTGTCCAGTGTATTCCCTTCCTTGGCACAGTGTCTAATTATTTTATTGATGTCTCCATTATAATTAGAATCCCCAAGGAGGACACTTGGTAGACCTGGACCCTGTTTCTATCTCTAGCAGCAAAGAAGACATGTGTATGTGTGAATACAAGATTATATGCTTCATGAGCATTGTTTAGCGTTACTCTTGTTTCCAATGCAGCGTCTGTGAGGTAAATGGTGATAAACGGACATTAAATATTAATTCCGATGGTGAACACCAGTGTAAACTAGGTAAGACTCGCCAGAGGTACACAGAGAAGCAAAAACCAATGGGTGCCCACAGAATTAATTCTGTTAATTAATTAATTAAGTGAATGGAACAGCCTGCCTCTCAGAATTGTGAGTGCTCACGGGAGGTTTTCAAAAATAGACTGAGCCACCATTTAACCAGGATGGCGTAAAAGGTCTCCTGCCTTGAGCAGGACGTTAAACTCGGAGACCTCCTTGTCCCTTCCAGCCTTAGGACTCTATGATTCTGTAAATCACTGTAAATCAGGGTCTTCCCAAGCCATTAAGACAATAGCCAAGTTTCCCCTGAGTCAGAAAGAAAGCTAAAATTAAAACCCTCTTAGGAGACATAGTTAAAGACTATTTTCTGTCTACTGCAATAGAGAAACCTTTGTGTACCCATTGCTAAAAGACTAATCTTCAGAGTAAGATCCACAAGCCATCGACTGACTCAGCCTGAATGTAGAATTTAAGTGTCTGAACAGTCCAGATTTACAGCTATGCCTGCGGGAAGTCTGACAGCATGAACGAAACTCCCACGGCAAGGGAAAGTGTACTCATGTTTTTCCATAATGTTACACCATTGTTTACTAACCAGCATGCCACAATACTTAGCCAGATTCCCTTCCTTACTTGTTCAGCAACATGCACAGCTTTGATGACAATCAAATCCCAGTAAGAAAGGAAAACTCCCTTTGTTTTGGCCTGACCCATCTCTTGATTTCCCACATCCAAACCAAAGCAGGAATTTTGAGTCAGCTTTCTGACCTTGGCTTCTGAACCAGCCATGTTAGGTTAAGAGGTTGAATTCACAGATGACATTAAACCATAATCATTTTACTGGGCTTGGCGTTAGGCACCATCCTGATTTGCAAATTACGATTTATGATTTACCTACTGTGCTGAAGCCAACCAATTGTCTGTTAAATAAATCAAAGCTTATTACGAGGTGGGAAGCTAGTGAATTTTCCTCCCAGTAAATTTTGGGTACCATAGTTTGTGCCACGAGTGACCAAACAAGCAAGAATTTTTATTTGATCTCTGCTAACTGTTCTATTCGTGCATTGTTTGCTCTGAATGTTAAAGAAAAAAAAAAGATTAATTGGACATGCATCACCCTCTAGAGCCTTCTTTAAAAAAAAAATAGAATTTCCCTATATTATGGAGCCTGAAAAAAAAGGGGGGTAGGTCAAGTATAAATTCTGTTCTCTTTTTTGTACCAGGAAGGTATACAAAGTAAACCTAATTAAGATCTGTTTGATTTACGGTCTTTAAGATGTGTTCAGGAACTGTCAGAGATGATCTGAAAAATAGGCTGTGCATGGCATGAGATCCCATTTATCCTTAAAACTAAGATCATTCCTTAGCTTGTTTCCAGAGAGGAGCTTTCCAAAAAAGAAATTGAGCCAACTGCTGTTCCTCTGAAAAATACTATTGAGTTGGGCAGTTGGCAAAAAAAAATAAGTTTTTTTCCCCTCCTTCTCTTCCAAATGTTTATGTTGGCAAACTGTGAACCAATTACCCTTCATTTGTGCTAGTAAGAAAATGGCATGTTACAATCTTCAAACAGGCCAGGATTATATTTACAATACTTACAACTGAAAGATTTCCCAACCCTACAGTATTACTCTAATCCATCTTTCCATCAAAGTAAAATGGAGCTCCTGTTGGCCTCTAGAACATCCAAACGGCCAACAGATATGGAGGTGCTATCTCCATTTTTTTTTTAAAAAAAAATAATTCTGGCTTATCACCCCTAAATATTGACATCTAACCCCAAAGTCACCTTCAATGCCTTTTCATTGCCTCATTGCTGTGGCTTGACCAAAGACTTATTGATTTCCTGCTCCACGCAGCCTACCAATCACAATCCACTTCCATGACTTTCTCCTGACTTGTTTAGATTGTAATTCAGCTTCAAGTACATTACTTTTATTTATAATACCGATGTTTCAGCAGGGTTGCTGGAAGCCTTCAACAATTATTTACAGGGCTCTTTTGATTTTCAATTTCCAAATCATACAATCCCATTTTTTATTCATCTGCAGAGGTTTCCATTGACTAGGGACTATTAAACAAAACAACAGCCTAGCAGAAAATCTGGGGAGAAATTTGAACATTAAAAAGCAGAGCTGTGCCATATAACTTCTTCTGAATGTCCAAAGGTGAATAGAAATACATTTGTTTCTCGTTTTGCTTCTCCCTCTTCTTCTTCTTTTTTTTTTTTTCAAAAATATGGGACAGAATCAAGATCACGTGAAGTGATAGTACCGCTTTATAATGGCTTGGTAAGACCACCCTTAGAATATAGCATCCAGTTTGGGTCGCCACGATATAAAAAAGATGTTGAGACTCTAGAAAGAGTACAGAGAAGAGCAACACAAATTATTAGGGGACTGGAGGCTGAAACATATAAGGAATGGTTGCTGGAATTGGGTATGTCTAGTTTAACGAAAAGAAGGACGAGGGGGGACATGATAGCAGTGTTCCAATATCTCAGGGGCTGCCACAAATAAGAGGGAAGCAAGCTATTCTCCAAAGCACCTAAAGGCAGAACAAGAAGCAATAGATGGAAAGTAATCAAGGAGAGAATCAATCTAAATCTAAGGAGAAATTTCCTGACATTGAGAACAATGAATCAGTGGAACAACTTGCCTCCAGAAGTGGTCAATGCTCCAACACTGGAAGTCTTAAGAAGAGACTGGACAGCCATTTGTCTGAAATGGTATAGGGTTTCCTGCCTGAACAGGGGGTTGAACTAGAAGACCTCCAAGGTCCCTTCCAACTTTGTTATTCTATGGCTGAGCTACAAAACACTTGAATTTTCATTTAAGGAGTTATGAGATCACTGACTAGGAACCACACAATCCATCTATATCAAGTTTATCACCTTCCTGGCTTCCTTCCACTTATTTGTGTCTTAGACAGAAAGGCATTGAATTAAAAAGAACACCACATCTTATTTTCGGGGTCTGAAAATACAAAACAAAACATAACAAAAAGCAGAAAACCTGTGGGAACTTGAAAGACAGCCCCCCCCTTTTTTTTTTTTTTTTTTTTTGCACTGCATTAGTCAAAACCAAAGTCCCAGTCTCACCGCTGTCAGGAATGGCTTGTATGTGTTTCAGCGTGAAAGGGCCGCAAAAACTGAAATATGTTGTTTTTCAAGAAAGGGAGGGGGGAAGTATTCCTGGGGGGACTATTTGACAAGGGTGAAATAAGAGAAATGGACCGCAGTGGGAACCTATACATGCATTTGCTTTTAAGGTTTGGACTCATTTCTGTGCCATTTGGAGCCAACAAATGCATCAGTTAGGGAAGCACAGAATTAGAAACCTGGGAGATTTTTCGTTTTAATCCCACTTTCCTTCCCTAAAGCTGGATGATCTAATCCAGGGGTCTTCAAACTCGGCCCTTTTAGGACTTGTGGACTTCAACTCCCAGAATTCCTCAGCCAGTGTGCGTAGATGAGGAATTCTGGGAGTTGAAGTCCACAAGCAGGGGTCTTCAAACTTGGCCCTTTTAGGACTTGTGGACTTCAACTCCCAGAATTCCTCAGCCAGTGTGCGTAGATGAGGAATTCTGGGAGTTGAAGTCCACAAGTCCTAAAAGGGCCAAGTTTGAAGACTCCTGATCTAATCAGTTTGGCCAACACAAGACGGCAGCAATGAGACGATCTATCACAAATTGTTTGGAATATTTCCCCTCCTCCTCTTCTTGTCCTCGTCCTCCTCTTGACTTTGTCCATGCCTGGTCTGCAGTTTGACCTCTGGGGTCCTTGCTGTTCTCTCTGAGACGTTTCATGACCCAACTAGGTAACATCTTCAGTGCTAGATAGGAATGGAGTTGGGGGAGGAGGAGGAGGAGGGGAGGACGATTACTGTGGGGTCCTCGGTGCTCTCTGAGCTTGGTGGTTTTCTTGCAGATGTTTCATGACCCAACTAGGTCACACATCATCAGTGCAAAAAAGGGATAGGGTTCTCTCACTGTTTATATACAATGATTTGCCCTGTCAATATTGGTTGGAGAGTGGTTTTCTTCTAGAGTTTGACCTCTGTTTGCCTAAGACTAACTAGCATTTTGAGCTTGTTCCTGAGCAACCAGCAAATGGGAGAACGTGATTCTTTGAAGCAGGTGTACCTAAAACCTGACTGAGCATCTGTACGTCGTATGACTGCATTGCACTACGGTTTTTTCGGAAAGGCTGCCAAGCTAGTAATCTCAGTTTTACAGCCCTTAAGGAATCTTAGAGTTGATGCACATAAAACCACCAACGCTCTTAAAGATTTCGCTGTAAATTTAATTGAATATGAAGCATCTCCTGCACACATAACACGTTCCATAATAACAACAAGAAGAATAAGAAAAAGAAAAAAGCTAGAGAGGGGAGGAAAAGGTAGCGCAAAGTCAGGTAAAGCTGGGTATTTACAAAGCTTACAAAATAATTTTAAGTCAACCTTGCTCTGAAAACAGTGCTCTAATGCGGAGAGCCGAGAAAATATCTAGCTCTCCTCTTTGATTCATGTCTGATTTGTATCTTTTATCCCAGCTCTTTGATGCATTAATCCCATTGTAAGCCTTAGGAGTGATGAAAAGTCTAATGCAATTTGATGTACTTGGGAGGTAATGAATATTTAGTAACCAGATGTTGCATTCCAGATAGATAGATAGATAGATAGATAGATAGATAGATAGATAGATAGATAGATAGATAGATAGATAGATAGATACAGAAAGATAGAGATAGAGACAGAGACAGACAGACAGACATAGACAGACAGATAGATACAGAAAGAGAGACAGACAGAGATACTGTAGATATAGATTAGATAGATAGATAGATAGATAGATAGATAGATAGATAGATAGATATAGATAGCTATAAATAGATAGATAGATAGATAGATAGATAGATAGATAGATAGAGACAGAGACAGAGACAGAGAAAGAGAGACAGACAGACACAGACAGATAGATAGATACAGAAAGAGAGACTAGATAGATATGGATTAGATATAGATAGATTAGATATAGATATAGATTAGATATAGATAGATAGATAGATAGATAGATATAAATAGAGATAGATAGCTAGATAGATAGAGATGGAGATAGATAGATAGAGATATAGATAGAGATAGATAGATAGATAGATAGATAGATAGATAGATAGATAGAGAGACAGACAGACAGACAGACACAGACAGATAGATAGATACAGAAAGAGACAGAAAGAGATACTGTAGATATAGATTAGATGGATAGATAGATAGATAGATAGATAGATAGATAGATAGATAGATAGATAGACAGATATAGATAAATATAGATAGCTAGATAGAGATGGAGATAGATAGATAGATAGATAGATAGATAGATAGATAGATAGATAGATAGATAGATAGATAGACAGACAGATATAGATAAATATAGATAGCTAGATAGAGATGGAGATAGATAGATAGATAGATAGATAGATAGAGAGAGAGAGAGAGAGAGAGAGAGAGAGAGAGAGAGAGAGAAGCTTCCTGACCATGCCTGAGGGGAAAAAAATACGGATAAGAAAATAAGAAATTCAAGAGAATGAAATGTTTTTAGATCACCCATCATTGGTACACCGGTAGTCCTTGATTTATGACCACAACTGAGCTTACTAAACAAAGCAGTTATTAAGAGAGTTTTCCTCCTTATTACGATCTCCCTTGCCACGGCTGCTACGTTTAATCACTGCAAAGTTGTTAAGTTGGTAACACAGTTGTTAAGGGAATCCGGCTTGCTCGTCAGAAGGAACTCAAAAGGGGATCGCGACACACAAACACACACACACACACACACAAACACACACACACACACACACACACACACGGGACACTGCAACCGGTCATAAAGGAGAGTCAGTTACCAAGTGTCTGCATTTTGATCACGTGACCAAGCGGATGCTGCAACGGTCATTCAAAACGGTCATAAGTCCCCCTTTTTTTTGTTTTTCAAATTTTGAACCTTCACGGAATGGAGGATTGTGAGGCGAGGATTGTTAACCCACCTCAAAGATGCTCGGTTTTAAAGCAGGCATTTCCCAGCATGCTCAGCTTCCAGGTGTAGGGACGTCACCTCACAGAGGTCCCCAATCGTCATGGCCACGATGGAAAATTCCAGAAGGCCACACCTGTGGAAACGTGAGCCTTTTTCAGGGCGAGCCTGTGAGGAAGAGATTAATCTTCCAAGATGAAGGTGGAACTGAATCTGCCTGAGCTTAATAAATCTGCCCGCATTTTGGTACCTCAGTGTGCGACCCTCTGTCTCGGAAAAAATAGGGATATAAATCGGATTAACAATTAATACATAGCTATTGTGTGTGTATGCTGGCTGCTATGGTTACGTGTCTTCCTGGGCCCTATTTCATCCAGCCTGCTACATCCAGGAAGCATTTTTAGTTTAAAATGTTTAACATTTCCCATTAAAAATCTCCAGAGTGTTTCACAGTTTAAAAATATAAAGGCTTTCCTTTGCTTGCCTTCCTTTCTCCCTCCTCCCCCCCCCTCCGTTTCCTTTCCTTTCCTTCTCGTTCTACTTCCTTTCCCCTCCCTCCCTCCCTCCCTTCTTTCCTTTCCTTCCTTTCCTCCCTCCCTTTCTTCCTTAATCTCTCCCTCCCTCCTTTTTTCCTTTCCTCTCCTCGTTCTCTTTCCTTTCCCCTCCTTTCCTTCCTTCCTTCCTTCACCTCCCTCTTCCTGTTTCCTTTTCTCTCCTTCTCCTTCTTTTCTTCTCCCTCCCTCCCTATTTCCCTTCCTTCTCCTTCCTTTCCTCCCTCCCTCCCTCCCTCCCAACCTTTCTTCCTTAATCTCTCCCTCCCTCCCTTTTTCCTTTCCTCTCCTTCTCTTTCCTTCCTTCTTCCTCCCTCCCTCCATTTCCTCCCCTTCTCCTCCCTCCCTGTTTTCTTTCCTTCTCCTTCTCTTTCCTTTTCCTTCCTCCCTCCCTATTTCCTTTCCCCTCCTTCTCCTTTCTTTCCTTTCCCTTCCTCCCTTCCCTACATGTTAAAATCTGTCACACCTCTGCTGCTGGTGGGGGAGGGAAATGAATATTTCTGAACTCCCCCCCCCCAATCTCCAGATACTTTAGAATTCCTCTTGGGATGATCTGCTTTATTTTTACATGGGAATAGAGAGAGCCTTGGTCTTGATTCCTTTCTCCATAATACAGCACCCCTCTCTATTGATCTTCCGGTTCAGAGGGTCCTTGTCTAACAGCAGCCAAGCCCACCCCCTTACAATTACATCCATGCTGCCTTATCAAGAGGGAAGAAATCACACCTTAGTGCTTCAGCCTGGGTGCACATAGCAATGCAGCTGGTATATAGCAATGCAGATAAGTAACAGGCTTCCCCTCACCACACCACCCCATCACAGATGTTCAAGGCTCAGGGGAACTTTGCCCACCAAGAGATTTTTATATATATATAAATAACACATCTGTTCAACAGCTCAGAGTGGCTGGGGAAAACTCCGTCCTGCGCACCCGACAGGAGAGGGGGAGTTTATAGACTCTGTTTGCAAAATGTTATGACGTGCTGCTGAGCCTAAAAAATTAACTTCATAAAAATCCCAGCTCTCCAGAGATCACTGGGGGGGGGGAGGCTTTGAAGCTAGGCTTCCTGCAACAGCTTTGCAACGGTTATGTTCTACCCAGCATGCACGTTTCACGATGTTCCTGTGCAGCTGGAATTATATTATTTTTACGGCCTTGATGACTCTGTGGGCCATCTTGAGAAAGCTTCATTTGGGAAGGCAGAGGGTTTTAAGAGGAGCAACTGGAGCAAACCCAGGCAAAGGTGATGGTCGTTTTTGCTAAAATGCAAGGAAAGCATAGCTGAAGGAAGAGAGAAGTGGAAGGCTATGCTAGAAACCTAGAGATGTTTGCCTGGAAAAACAAGCAAAGAAAGAAAAAGAAAGCCATTAGTAAAATATATGTGAATTTTTGGACATAAGAAGGAAGTAGATGACAGTGATCTGGAAACTGGCTACAACAAAGATACGGAATTTCTTCCTTCTTCATTAATTTTCGCAAAAGACATATAGTTGCTTCACAAGTATATTTTTTCTATGGGCTCAGAGGGCTCAATAAATTAAGTGTGTAAATACTGGAAGACTTTCTCAATAATAATTTATGTTCCAGTAATAATTGTACTGAAATTGGGTTGATGTTATGATGTCAACGATGTTACCGGATGTTCTTGCTTTGACAACGGATGGAAATGCACCCATTTTTCTCTATCGCTTTTAGAGTTCGTTGATGCTGGGAGGGGGAATGTGGATGAAAGTCCAGCTAGTCATAACAATAACTCAGCCGTGGGAACCCAAGGACATTGGGCCCAGAGTTGATAAGAGTTTTGGTGGGCTGGAAAGCAGGGGAAGAAAGCCCAGTGCTTCAAGCTAACTGGGGGATGTGATTTATGACTGTTAATTGGAGGAGAGAATTGTGCTTTGCTACTTTGTGCCAAGGAGAGGGGAATTCAGTTTTTTACTTTAACTATGTAGTGCTGATACTTTGTTTCTCGAATAAAAGATTCTTTAAGATAGACAGTACCTCGAAGTTCTTTTGAAGAGTTTCATCTGTCGGAAACATGACATAGAAGGAAGGATGTATCAATGCCCACTCAATAGGTGCACAATCTCCACTCAATAGGTAGACCAGAATAGAGTGTCACCTGAAGGGTGAGTTTTTCAACAGTTCAATTCTACAAATGCCCCAGCCACAAATGGCTGGGTTCATCTCTCTAAGAGTAATGGGGCTTTGGTTTCAGAACCCTGGATAGCGATCATACAGAAATGATATTTCTCCAGAATTCTTTCATAGCATTGGACGGGATAATCTTGATAGCGTCATAGGGATCCCACTTCACGGGTGGTAATTGTTTAAGAGACACCTTTTCCTTCCCAGTTTGAGAACTAGGGGCATAACGGTTGGCAACAAAGCAGCAAAGATAATTAGGGGACTGGAGGCTAAAATATATGAAGAACGGTTGTGGGAATTGGGTATGTCTAGTTTAATGGGGGGGGGAAAGTAGGGGTGATATGATAGTAGTCTTCCAATGTCTAAGGGGCTGCCACAAAGAAGAAGGGGTCAACCTATTCTCCAAAGCATCTGAGGACAGGAGAAGAAGCGATGGATGGAAACTAATCAAGGAGAGAAGCAACCTAGAACTAAGCAAAATTTTTCTTAGAATAATTAACCAATGGAACAGCTTGCCTCCAGAAATTGTGGGTGCTCCAACACTGGAATGTTTTTAAGAAGAGACTGAACAGCCATTTGTCTGAAATGGTATAGGATTTCCTGCTTGAGCAGGGGGTTGGACTAGATGACCTCCAAGGTTCCTTCCGACTCTGTTATTCTGGCTGGAGAATGCTCTACGGTTCTCTCTCTGTCCTCCAGAAGTCTATTGTCTGATTCAACAGCATCTCTAAGAAATGAGATTTGGATGTGAGGCTAAGCCAGAGGAAATGACCAGATTGAGCAACACTCTGGAGTCAAAGAACGTCTCTATTTCAAAGAATTCTTAATCCTAAACTATAACAGAGGCAAGAGAAAAAATGGAGAATCTCTGCCTGAAATATCTTTCCCTTTGAGGAAAAGAATGTAACAGCCCAATTTCATTTGTATGACACAGGCAGTTGCAAGATCTCGCAAAGCAGTGTAATGTTAGCTGTTCTTGCACATAATGGGGGAAAAAAAACATTATGTGTTGAAACAGCTTATAATGTCCTAGTAGGCACATAATATTAAATAATAATGAGAAGGCTCACACATCCCATGCTGAGTAAAAAAACAACAACGACAACGACGATGACTAGTAGGCAAAAATGTTGAAACTCAAATTGTTTCAAGGACAAGTCCAGGTTAGTTTGGACAGCATCAGAACAGCCTCTTTCAGAATGTGAAATGGCTTTTTCAAGCTTGAGATATTTCGAAGTTGAAATATTTTGCATAACCTTATCATGAAGTCACCTCAAAATGGGATGGAGGGTTAAAAAAAAATCTTATAAATAAAATAAAGCATGTTACGGTTTAAGGCAGCAGGGAAATCCAGGCTTTTAGAGGAGGAGGAAGAGGAGGAGGAGGAGGGGGGGGAGGGAGGGAGGGAGGGAGGGAAGAAGGAAGGAAATAGGTAGCATTTTTAATGCTAGAAGGGAGTGGAGTTTGTGGAGAGGAGGAGGGAGGGGAGAGGGAGGGAAGAAGGAAGGAAGGAAGGAAGGAAGGAAGGAAGGAAGGAAGGAAGGAAGGAAGGAAGGAAGGAAGGAAGGAAGGAAGGAAATAGGTAGCATCTTCAATGCTGGAAGAGAGTGGAGTTTGTGAACAGGAGGAGGAGGAGAGAAATGATGGAGGGAGGGAGGGAGGAAGGAAGGAAGGAAGGAAGGAAGGAAGGAAGGAAGGAAGGAAGGAAGGAAGGAAGGAAGGAAGGAAAAAAGGAAAGAAAGAATCATCGCAATTCTCCCTTATATTTTCTGTTGGCAACAGATAACAACACCAGGCAGTAATTTATTTTCAAACTTGACAAGACAGTAGAGCAGTGATGGCGAACCTTTTAGAGACCCAAGTGCCCAAACTGCAACCCAAAACCCACTTATGTATCATGGGGTGCCGGGTGGGTGTGGCCCACTCAGTGGGCGGAGCTACAGTGGGCTTGGCAGACTGGGTGGGCATGGCCACTGGATGGGTGTGGCTGCAGTAGTCATGGAAGATTGGATGGGCATGGCTGGGATGGGCCTGGCCACTTTGATGTTGTTTATGGGGAGGGACACCTGTGGGAGCTGGGCAGGGTTGGGGGAGATCCAGGGGGTCTCTGGCAGGTGGGATGGTGGGCTCCCCAATGGCGGCTTCAGGCTGGCTGGCCTTAGGCCAGTGATGGCGAACTTTTAGACACGTGTGCTGGGGCGATGGCGTGTGCCCACAGAGAGGGCTCCGCGTGCCGCCTCTGGCACGCATGCCATAGGTTCGCCACCACTGCAGTAGAGTATGACCTGCTCTCAAAAATCACTATTAGTAGCAGAAAGTGTTCTACTGAAGGATTTTTAATTTTGAGGTCCCCTGGCATTCCCCCTGCCCTCCTTCGATTCTCACATTTTCTCCCGCTCCCATCCTCTCTCCAAATCTAACCTGACAT